ACATCTCGATGTCGGGATGATCAATCAAAGGATTTTTCAATATTAAAACTACATTTTCCAATGAATTTTTGAGGTTATAAGGTTGCATCCTTATATAAACTTTTTCCATCATTAAAAGCCATAAGATTTAGTCTTAAAGCACAGGATATGATACAAAGATTGAAAATTTTTGTTTTTAACTTTGAGCATGTTGAATAAGACATCCCTACTAATTTGTTTTTTAAACTAACGACTACATATAACTGTGACAAAAACATATGTTAATTTTTTATGTTAAAAAGACAACATATAACTATGACCTCCTTGGCCATGGTGTTATTCTATACCTTTTCATTATTAGTTTGCTAAAAACACTTATTTGTAAAAATAAAATAAAAATATGGAAGATTTTAAGTGAAACAGGTCGGGTCGGGTCATGGACCCGGACCCGATTAGACCCAATGGGATCCAACTGAAAACAAAATATATACATATACATTTAAATATTATAAAAAATATATGCATGCATTACTTAAATATTATAACTGAAAATATATAGTGATAGTTATTTAAATATTATGAAAAATTTATGTATTAGATATTATTTAAATAATAACACTAGTCGAGACGAGTCTAGGTCAGGTCCACATGGACCGGGACCGAATAGTGTTCTAGTCCAATATTTGGACCCATACGCAAACCGCCAGGTCGAAGTTTAAACCCATATTCAGACCTAGGTCGGATCCTATCATCGGGTCGAGGTCCATTGCCACCTTAGATATCCTAAATGATCAGTCTGAATAATTTTGTAGACTCGGACTAGGCGAACCAAAATAGGATCCCTAGTGCGAGGCCCAAAATTCTTATTTTTCAATCAATAAATTGTACTCGCATATCTACATTTCCTACCGGCTCCTCACATTTTCTTCACATTTCCTACCGGCTCCTCACATTGGTTAACTCTAATCTGTGGACATCTTCCCTTTAATTTATAAGTGGCCTCTTATCAAGTCCCGGTTCCTTCACTTCTAGTAATCACTTATCAGCTGGATCCTTAATGAATATGCTATCTAGGTTCATTCGGTTCAGGGGTGGCAATGGACACGACTACATCCGAGACCCAATGGGTAGACGCAACCTTCGATCTGGATATGAGTCCAAATGTTAGAGCCAAGGTCGGGTCCGAGTCCAAAATCTAAACCCGACCCGTATAAGACCCGAATAATATGAGTATATGTTATGTTGGTATTCATAAATGTTGTCAATACATTTATTTCTTAGGAAATTCTAGTTCTTAATGTCGTGCAATTCGATATATATTGCCAATAATACAAGTGTATGATAGTAAAGAAAGGGTAAAAAAAAAACAAATAGGATGGCAACGGACCCGAGCAGACCCAGGACCGGACAAGTCAAGGTATGGGTTCAAATTATGGACCCGAAAGGTTGGGTCCGAGTCCAAAACCTAAACCCGAATACTATTCGGATCCAGATCTACCCCTACCCAACCTGTTGCCACCCCTAATCGGATTATTGTCGTCAACGTTTTCTACTAATGCTTTGAAATAACTAAACTACTGTTATATAGACCAATTTATCGGACTTGAATTTGGTAAATAATTTTTGCCAAATAAATAATAATAATAAACTTTATCAATTTCTTATAGTAAAAACACATATTTGCCGGATGTCACTTATAAGTCGATGGAAAAAATCCATGTCTAGTTGTTAGTTGTGAGATAGAACTAGATTTCTAGCATTAAAAGCTAAAACACATCCAATGAAGCATTTTTCAAGAAATATGAGAAATCAAAGTGTAGGAAAAAAA